AAAAAAAAAAAAAAAAAAAAGTGCTACTACCCAGACATCGCTGGATCGTTTTTCCAAGAGGGTGGATAGAATTGAATCCAGCAAGGAACCAGAACCTGTGCCAGCAACGTCAGGTGTGAGTGAAATTGCAGCTCCCCCTCTGTCTACTATTGCTGACGATCCTTCAGCTCTACATCTCCCACCTCCTCTCCGTCCTCCAGTCACTAACTCTTGGGGCCTGTTCACTCGACGCCAGCCCCTGGATGCCAGCTACTGTACTGGACTACTGTACTTTTCAAGGTACTGTATTATAAGATTAAAACTGTTTTATATTTTGTGTTTTTGTTTTTGTTTTTTTTTCCGGTACACGGGCTTCTCACTGTTGTGGCCTCTCCCGTTGCGGAGCACAGGCTCCGGACGCGCAGGCTCAGTGGCCATGGCTCATGGGCCTAGCCGCTCTGCGGCATATGGGATCTTCCTGGACCGGGGCACGAACCTGCGTCCCCTGCATTGGCAGGCGGACTCTCAACCACTGCGCCCCCAGGGAAGCCCTTGTGTTTGTTTTTTATGCATTGTTTGTGTGAAAAGTATTATAAAACTCTTACTGTACGGTACTATATAGCCGACTGTGTTAGTTGGGTACCAGGCTAACTTTGTTGGACTTAACGAACAAACTGGACTTACAAACGTGCTCTCAGAACAGAACTCGTTCGTATGTAGGGGACTTCCTGTACATAGAAAATCCTAAAGACGCCACTAAAACACTATTAGAGCTCATCAGTGAATTTGGTCAAGTTGTAGGATACAAAATCAATACAAAGAAACGTGTTGCATACTAACAATGAACTATCTGACAGAGAAACTGAGGAAACAATCCCATTTACCACTGCATCAAAAAGAACTAAATACCTAGGAATAAATCTAACCAAGGAGGTAAAAGACCTGTACTCAGAAAACTGTAAGACACTGATGAAGGAAACTGAAGATGACATACACAGATGGAAATATATACCATGTTCATGGACTGGAAGAATACTGTTAAAATGACCATACTACCCAAGGCAATCAACAGATTCAATGCAATCCCTATCAAAATACCAAGGGCATTTTTCACAGAAGAATAAATAATTTTAATATTTGCATGGAAACATGAAAGACCCTGAAGAGCCAAAACAATCTTGAGAAAGAAGAACAGAGCTGGAGGTATCACAATCCCTGACTTCAGACTATACCACAAAGCTACAGTAATCAAACAATATGGTACTGGCACAAAAACAGACACATACAACAATGAAACAGAATAGAGAGCCCAGAAGTAAACCCACACACTTATAGTCAATTAATCCACGACAAAGGAGGCAAGAATATACAGTGGAGAAAAGACAACCTCTTCAATAAGTGGTGCTGGGAAAACTGGACAGCTACATGTAAAAGAATGAAATTAGAACACTCCCTAACACCATACACAAAAATAAACTCAAAATGGATTAAAGACCTAAATTTAAGACCAGAAACCATAAAGCTCCTAGAGGAAAACATAGGCAGAACACACTCTGATATAAACTGTAGCAATATTTTTTTGGATCTGTTTCCTAAGACACAGGAAAGAAAAGCAAAAATACACAAATGGGACCTAATTAAAAGTAAAGGCTTTTTTTTTTTTTTTTTTTTTTTTTTTTTTTGCGGTACACGGGCCTCTCACTGCTGTGGCCTCTCCCGTTGCGGAGAACAGGCTCCAGACGCGCAGGCTCAGCGGCCATGGCTCACGGGCCCAGCCGCTCCACGGCATGTGGGATCTTCCCGGACCGGGGCACGAACCCGTGTCCCCTGCATCGGCAGGCGGACTCTCAACCACTGTGCCACCAGGGGAGCCCTAAAGGCTTTTTAAAAAAATTAATTATGGCTGTGTTGGGTCTTTGTTGCTGCGGGCAGGCTCTCTCTAGTTACGGTGAGCGGGGGCTACTCTTCCCTGTGGTACACGGGCTTCTTATTGTGGTGGCTTCTCTTGTTGTGGAGCACGGGCTCTAGGCACGTGGACTTCAGCAGTTGTGGCTTGCGAGCTCTAGAGCTGAGTAGGCTCAGTAGTGGTGGCACACAGGCTTAGTTGCTCCACTGCATGTGGGATCCTCCTGGACCAGGGCTCGAACCCGTGTCCCCTGCATCGGCAGGCGGATTCTTAACCACTGCGCCACCAGGGAAGTCCCGAAAATTAAAGGCCTTTTTTTTTTTTTTCCAGAGGAAAGGAAACCATCGACAAAATGAAAAGACAACCTACTGAATGGGAGAAGATATTTGCAAATGATATGACCAATGAGGGGTTAATATGCAAAATATATAAACAGCCCATCCAACTTAATATCTAAAAAAACAAACCTGATTTTAAAATGTGCAGAAGACCTGAACAGACATTTTTTCCAAAGGAGACATATAGATGGCACATGGAAAGTGCTCAACATCACTAATCAGAGAAATGCAAACCAGAACCACAATGAGGTATCATCTCACACCTGCCAGAATGGCCGTCATCAAAAAGACAACAAATAACAACTGCTGGTGAGGACGTAGAGAAAAAGGAACACTTGTTCACTATTGGTGGGAATGTAAACTGGTGCAGCCACTGTGGAAAACAGTATGGAGGTTCCTCAAAAAAACTAAAAATAGGACTACCCTATGATCTAGCAATTCCACTCCTGGGTATATACCCAAAGAAAATGAGAACACTGATTTGAAAAGATACGTGCACCCCAATGTTCATAGCAGCATTATTTACAAGGAGAAGATTGGTATATATTATATATATATACACACACACACAATGGAATACTGCTCAGCCATAAAAAAGAATGAAATTTTGCCATTTGCATCAACATGGATGGGCCTAGAGGGGTATTACGCTTAATGAACTAAGTCAGACAGAGAAAGACAAATACTGTATGCTATCAGTTATATATGGAACCTAAAAAAAATAAACAAATGAATATAACAGAACAGAAACAGACTCACAGACGTAGAAAACAAATTAGTGGTTCCCAGTGGGGAGAGGGAAGGGAGAAGGGGCAAGACAGGCATAGGGGAGGAAGAGGTACAAACTATAAAATAAATAAGCTACAAGGATATATTGTACAGCACAGAGAACGGAGCCCATACTTTATGATACCTTTAAATGGAATATAAGCTACAGAAATTTTGCATCACTATGTTGTACACCGGAAATGAATAATATCGTAAATGAACTGTACCTCAACAAAAACTAAAATAAAGTGAGAAATGCACAGTTACGACAAGGTAGGGAAGTCATGAGTGTGGCAGAAAGTGAAACCAGCTTCCGATCCCAGCGGGGAAGGCGTGCCTACCTGGCGTGGTGCTGGCCTGACCACAAGGGGCAGGAGCTGGTAGAGGGCAAGGGAGATGCTGATGTCTCGGGGTGGCTGTCGGAGAACTTGGTGACGTGCCAGGAGTGCGGCCTCCAGCTCAGCTCATTCCTCCTGAAAAAGGATGCAGATGACTCAGGGACTTCACACCAAGGACAACTTCAGGCCAAGAAAGGAGCGAGAGGCAGAAACGATTCCTGTGTGATTTACTGCATCGCTGTCAGGTGCTTCCCATTGCATCTGGGCACCAACGCTCTTTGTATAGGTTCGTTACCGGAGAACATCCCCGGATGAGAATCACAGGCTCCAGAATGTGAACCAGCCCTTAGGCTTCCAAATTTATTCTAAGTAAGTACATGAATCTTGCCCACGACCCCCGCTGCCCCATCCCCAAGACACAGCAGGATCTTCTGCCTGGCCGGTGTCAGTGCAACTTTGCACAGGCCCTTGGCCTGTTTGAGGAGTAGGCACTGGGCTGCAGAAAAGCTTCAGCTGGGTCCTGCAGAGTTTTGACTGCATTTATTTATTCACTCACTTAACTAAGTGAACACAGCTATCCTGCAGTTAACGGGGACTGGTGGACACGTATTCCTCTGAGCCTCCAAAAGCGTCCGAAGTCATCTAAGGGCTCCTATCATGGGAATCACCACGCCCTAAGACCAACAGGCTCCAGTCCATTCCTGCCAGGGCTTCTGAACGTGGCAGGAGCCTTCCCTGCCCCCCTCCACCGTCCCCACCATCCGTGGGTGGCTTATTAGGTTTTTGACCACACCTGCCCAGGTGTGAAAAAGCATGTCCAGCTGGACATCCCTGCAGCTGCCGTAGGAACATCACAGGGCCTCCAGGGGAAAGCTGCTGCAAGAGCACACCGCCCATGCTCGCCCCTCCTCCTCCTGCATTTTTTTTTTTTTTTTTTTTTTTGGAGTAAAACTGCTTTACAATGTTGTGTTAGTTTCTGCTCTACAATGAAGTGAATCAGCTATATATATACCTATATCCCGTCCCTCAGGGACCTCCCTCCCTCCCCCCACATCCTACCCATATAGGTCATCACAGAGCACCAAGCTGTGCTATACAGCAGGTTCCCACTAGCTATCTGTTTTACACGTGATAGTGTATTTATGTCAAACCTAATCTCCCAATTCGTCCCACTCTCCTCTTCCCCCTCTGTGTCCACATGTCTGTTCTCTACATCTACGTCTTTATTCCTGCCCTGCAAATAGGTTCATCTGTACCATTTTTCTAGATTCCACACATATGTGTTAATATACGATATTTTTTTTCCTCTTTCTGGCTTACTTCACTCTGTATGACAGACTCTAGGTCCATCCACATCTCTACAAATGACCCAATTTTGTTTGTTCCTTTTTATGACTGAGTAATACTCCATTGTATATATGTACCACATCTTCTTTATCCATTCATCTATCATTGGATATTTAAGTTGTTTCCACATCCTGGCTATTGGAAATAATGCTGCAGTGAACATTGGCATACCCGCGTCCTTTTGAATTATGGTTTTCTCAGGGTATATGTGCAATAGTGGGAGTGCTGGGTCATATGGTAGTTCTATTTTTTGTTTTTTAAGGAACCTCCACACTGTTTTCCATAGTGGCTGTATCAATTTACATTCCCACCAACAGTGCAAAAGTGTTCCCTTTTCTCCACACCCTCTCCAGCATTTATTGTTTGTGGATTTTTAAATATTTATTTATTTATTTATTTCGACTGTGTTGGGTCTTTGTTGCTGCACTCAGACTTTCTTTAGTTGCAGCGAGCAAGGGCTACTCTTCGTTGCGGTGCATAGGCTTCTCATTGCGGTGGCTTCCCTTGTTGTGGAGCATGGGCTCTAGGCGCGCAGGCTTCAGTAGTTGTGGCACACTCGCTCAGTAGTTGTGGTACACAGGCTTAGTTGCTCTGTAGCATATGGGATCTTCCCTTACCAGGGCTCAAACCCATGTCTCCTGCATTGGCAGGCATATTCTTAACCAATGCGCCACCAGGGAAGCCCTTCTCCTGGGCATTCTTGAGCTCTTCTTCCCACTCCTATGGATCCAGATGGGTCATGGCTATGCATACTTTCATTTAGTCCATCCTCACCTCTAAGCCAGGCGGGTTAAGAAAGGTGGCACATTTCACCTGTGTCGTGTGACCTTGGGTAAGTCAGTAACCCGCTCTGGGCCTCAGCTGAATAAGGCAGTCAGAAAGTTCTTGAGGGCCCTGGAGCTCAGTCTATGACCTTGTATACCCTGTTTTGGGAATGCCCTTGCCTTATTCTAATCTCACCCAACAGCAGAACAAAGCAAGCCGGACCTGCAGGGGAAGAGGGGAGACCAGGCTGTGACCTGGTGGGCTGCGGGAGGTGAGAGTGGCAGCCTGCTCCCCGACCTTCCAGCACAAACCCGCCACTAATGAGGCCTGTCTTTGGAGTAATTAGCCACAATCACAGCGCAGTGCATTAGGCAGACAAGGCCTTGGTGCAGTTGTGACTCCCAGGTCACAGGAGCCCAGGGCTTTGAACACTGCATTACAGCGGGGGATGCGTCCTAATGTCACTTAATTACCCCAGACAGCCTCAGAAGTAATGGAGCCTGGATGGGCTGGCAGGAACGGGTGCAGACGTCCAGAGGAGGCTGATGTGTTTATAATGATGCCACTTTGCAAGACAAATCTGGTCTTAGCGGGCTGAAGATGAACAAAACAAAAAAAAGAGGGGGCTTCTAATTTCTCAACTGTTATAAATTTTTTTTTTAAAAAACAAACCCCCCCCTGGTTTTTTTTTTTTTTTTTTTTTTTTTGCGGTACGCGGGCCTCTCACTGCTATGGCCTCTCCCGTTGCAGAACACAGGCTCCGGACGCGCAGGCTCAGCGGCCATGGCTCACGGGCCCAGCCGCTCCGCGGCGTGTGGGATCCTCCCGGACCGGGGCACGAACCCGTGTCCCCTGCATCGGCAGGCAGACTCTCAACCGCTGTGCCACCAGGGAAGCCCCCTCCTGCAATTTAAGACGGATCTAGCCTCACCAGGGACACTTTACAGCCCAATCGAGATCGGACAAAGGGTTCAACTGAGCCTCTAAGTACCTGATGGGGATCAAACATTCTTCCAACAGGCAAAAACATTAAAGAATATTATGCAACAACGAATATTAAAGAAAACCCAGAAAGCATTTATAACATAAACCTTCTGATGACTCGGAAATGAGGAAAAATACACGGGTGGCCAAATGTGGAATGTGTTGACTTTTTGATAGTTTCCCACGAGCTAAAGCATAAAACAGACGAATTCATCACACCACAGAAGTAAAGGGAGTGTAAAACCAAAACCGTACCTCATAAAGTTTCTCAAAATCCTCGTAAGGAAGGTTCTGGCCACGTGAATTTCATTTTCAGATGGCTTTTCCTGTGCTATAATATCCGTAACGTCTGTCATCTTCCTTTACAGATAATTAATGAAGGAAACAAACTAGACAAACTACAGGCAAAGGATAAAGAGGCTTGGAAGAGAAAATGCCTTACACTTTGTGGTAACATATTTCGCCTCTGTAACAGGAACGAGTGGGGAACCAGCTGGCTTACTGGGGCAGTCGTGCTCTTTGAGAAGAGGAAATGTTTCTCCTCTTGTTTTAAAGGATAATACAGGCAGACCTTGGAGATGTTTCGGGTTGGGTTCCAGACCACCACAATAAAGTGAATACTGTAATAAAGCTAGTCACGTGAACTTTTTGGTTTCCCAGGGCATATAAAAGCTATGTTTACACTATACTATAGTCCACCAAGTGTGCAATAGCATCATGCCTACAAAAACACAATGTACATACCTTAATTTTAAAAGACTTTATTGCTGAAAAACACTATTATCTGAGCCCTAGTAATAATATGAGTAACATCAAAGATCACTGATCACCGTAACAAATATGATAGTGGAAAAGTCTGAAATAGTGTGAGGATTACCAAAATGTGAGACACAAAGTGAGCCAGTGCTGTTGCAAAAATGCTGCCAACAGACTTGCTTGTCACAGGGTTGCTACAACCTTCCATTTGTAAAAACAAACAAAAAACACGCAGTATCTGTGAAGCACACACAGCAAGGTATGTCTGTACACAGATATATGCCTCTACTTCGAGAAGACATAGTCAACAGTTAGGGTACTAATTGGAGCTTTAAAAAAAAAAAAAGGAAAACACAGTGAAAAGGGTGGTACCTAGAAGCTCTAAGTGAGGAATCATGGCTCCTGGAGAGACTGAAATTTTCCTACGTATGTGGCTCTCGTCAGGTCCTCAGACTTTCCTAGAGCACAGCGAACGTATCTGGGAATCGAGGAAGGTTTAGGCAGTTTCTGTCTGTCAGCTCCTCTGATGTCTAAAACTGGATTCTGCTGATGAAAGGAGGAGGACATGTGGCTGAGGGCTGGTCTCTCCATCACAAGCCCGTGACCACGCTGGGCAGGAAAGCTCTGGGGACCGAACGCTCTGGCGCCACCTAGCGTTCCCAGATGGAACAGAAATGGCAGGGGTTGATTTAAGGCGCTCGTTTCAACAGACGATGGTGTTTCTTCCCACGCAAGATACGCACTCCAGGTGGCTTTAAACCACCCGGGTCCCTGGAAGTCTGGGGCCGCGAGGGGTGCACAGTCCACAGGCTGTGCCAAAACAGGCGGGCAAGGTGCCCCGATGTGAGGGCCTCGGAGAACTCGGACCACGTGGTACCTGGTGGTACCTGGTTAGGGGTTAACCGCCCTGCCCCCTCAGGGGGCCACGCGTGTCGGAAGGAAACGCACACAAAGCAGGTATGCAGCGAACCACACCCAAACCTTCCTGTCCTGGCGGGCGGGACGTCTGCTATGTCTGCTACAGCTGGACCAGCCCCCCACAGACATCAAACAGGAACAGAAGGGAGAGCTGTGAAAGGAACGCCCCCTCCACAGGCCACGCAGTCAGACACAAGCCAGCTCGGCTGGGGAGACCAGCAAGGACGCCCCTTCCGGGAGGAAGGACAACACGGCTCAGCCCAGAGACATCCAAGGCCATGCTTCTGTGCAAGGCAGTGTGGTCAGCGATGGCAGGGAGGAAGCAGCCGTGACCTGCCGGGGTGCGGGTGCTGACCCCAGTGTAA